GTAAAATTGTAAATGCGTGCATAGTGCTCACTTTCATAAAGTCAAATGCCATCTCATAAAGTCTAGTTGGATCCTGTCAGTGACAGTGACACAGAATCAGTACCTTGGAGCATTAAAATTAATTTGCTTCATTTATATTACTGCAGTGATAGCTAGATGAAAAGAGTCCTATATTTAAATTATCTTAAAAATACCTTCGAATCTTTTAGGATTTTTTATTATTATTATTTTACAGTTAACTAAATGTAGTGAAGTGCAGCATAATATTTTCATGGGCCTTTTAAGAAGGTGACTACGAAATGAGAAAGTAGCAAAGGGGAAAGGTGAGGATGTGGGAGGTTAGACTGGGTGAAAAGCTGGAGGAAGGGTGAGTAGCTTTCAGTTGTGCAGACTGAGAGAGAAACAGTAGCCTTTGACCAGGGCTGATAAACCACAGCCTTGGAGCCAAGCTGGAATACCCTGGAGCAATGGAGAGTGAACAGGGCTTTCCTATGGCAGTCTGTAAGTGCAGTCCTCTTGCTCTTCCTTGCCGTTGTTGAAGGTCACGAATAAACAGCTTTTCTCTTGCCAGCTCTTCCTCAAGTTTGCAAAGTTCATACATGAAATGGGCTGAGTGAGGATGCAAACAGGGAGAAAAATAAAAAGTACTCCGTATCACAGTCCTAACTTGCTTCTCGGTTGCAGTGGGACTGTGATTTTAGTGCCCACTGCACTGATCCGAGCTTAGTGATTTTAGTGGAAGTACCCATAATTTACTGCTGTAAGTGAGCAGAGTCAAAAGTCTTGGGAAGCAAAACCAAGCAGGATAGAAGCATGGGTGTGAAGAAGAGAAAGAAAAAGGAGGAAGGAAGAAAATATAAACAGAAAAAAAAAAAGAGGCTCTGAATACCGGAGCCAAAGAGCAAGAAGGAAGATGGGAATGTGGGGAGCACTGGTAGGAGAAACATAGACAAACAAAGGAAAAGAGGAAAATTTAGGGTAAAAAGCTAGGAATACCAATAATCTTGTTTGTCAGGGATGTCTGCGGGATGATCTCTCAGTGCTTCCTCCCTTCTGCGACAGCCCTCTGTAGTCCTGGTCAGGTGAGGTGCCGCTTTCTCACCTGGGTACCCCATTTCCTCTTTCTTCGGAGGAGGATGGGATACAACCCTGACATGCACTTGTCACAGTGTTTGGTCAGCTCTGATCTAGGAATTGGACATACATTCATGCAATAAGGCTGTTTAAAAGGGTTTGGCAACTCCACAGCTTCTTACACCCCTACTTCGAGCAAAGCTGCCAAAGTTGGCCCCAAACCACAGAGGAGCACTTTGTCATTCAGCTCTCGTGATACGTAGTAAGTCAGGGTCTTTGGCAGAAGCATGGAACCAAGCTGCTGGAAGCCTGTAACATCATAAACCACAGCAATGTGAGTGGGTGTTTGCAGCATGAGCCCTCAAACCATGAGAGCAGTCTTAAAACTTAACAAAAAGATTGTATATAAACTGATAATGCCAGTGTTCCTCCTTCAGTGTCAATCAAGATGAAGACCCGTAGAAGTCAGTCCAGTTACCCTGAAATGCAGATAAGCATGATCAATGCCTCTGTGAAAACAAAATGAAAAATCCTTACGGGCATTATTCTTTATATGTGTGAATACAGCCTTCATGCTCCAGATGGCAAATAAATACCCTAGTAATATTAGGGTGCGGAGGGAGGGGGAGGAGCTGCTGTGTACTTTGAGAAAACTTAAGACCAAGGTAGTGGCCTGGGTTTTGATATATGTGATTTGATCCTGTGCAAAATTTGATTTATCTTAGACCTAGTGTAGCTATCGTACTCCATTAGCACTGGAAGCAGTATGTTATGAAAGATGAGGAAAAGAGGAGTGGACAGCCCAAAACAAAGATAACCATATCCCTTTTGCTTAGCACCTTCATTCCTTGCTATCTATCTGAAAGATTTAAACTCATCTCTCTCACTTTATTAGTTTTGTTATAGCGGCACCTGTTTATGTCACTACTGTTTCAGTCAGTGTTTCTGTTATAGCTTCTCTTAGTGCTAGTTCATAATCTCATCCTGAAAATACATTACAGGCTAAGATACAGCATCCAGTATCAGCCCAGGCATTATAATGTCAGTTTTCTTCCTTAGGCTGGGATTTGGTTTTCAGTTTTTTTGTTTGGGGTGGTTTTTTTGCAAGTGTTTTTTTATACGTATTAAAAAAAATACAGGTGGGTTTTTTTAAGAGAAGGAAAAGTAACTATTGAAATTAGTTTTTCCTAATTAGGAATTTGGGAAAATTTTGTCTTTTAGAAATTTTTATTTTTTATTTTTTAATTTTTATTTGGAAAACTTTAGCAGTCATACCGATGCTTGCAGGTACTATCTATTGCTACAAAAAAGTTTAGACAACGTTTTTAAAAATAAATAAAACTTACGCTGTTTTGTTTAGCTTTGTGGTAGTATTACTGACAGAAGCATTTGTGACTGTAGTCTGTGGATCTCTGTCACGAAATATTTTCTGAAAGCTGCATACTGACAAAAGTTGGGATTATAAAAATCAGTACATAAAAAGGCAGCAGAGCTTTTTCTTTCCATTAAATGAATGCTTACCTGCAAAAAATTATTATTAATTTTTCTTTTAACCAGTTAGTTTTTCGTGGTAAATAACAGGAACTTTAATTGCACATTAGTGGCTTACTGGAACCTATTGTTGTGACATGTATTTAAACAAGCTGTGAATTAAGAACCTCTTTGCATCCAGTGATCTAATTATATTGTCACACTAATTATAGTATTTTGTATTTATATTTGACAACTTTAATTTTCTTTTCCTAGTTTACTGAAATAGCTTTCCTCTAGACAATTTACCTTTTAGGCTGGAATTTCTCATCTTTTCTTTCAGTGCAGAAAATGTACAGTCATTTAAAGCATGTCTCAGTCACTTTGGATCCATTCTGTTCGTGTCTCTGCCGTTAGTTTTCTGTGTGTTCTTAGGCTAGTTGTTTTAGTGTTCTCTGATTCTCTGTAGGAGTCCTGTTCAGCTTACTAAAGTGTTTTTGGATCTATGGATGAAATTGCACTACCAAAACACCAGGTTCTGTCTTATGAACATATATATAGCATGTTCTTAGCTTGGGACTCGTTTATTTTTCTGTGGTTAGAGAACAGAACAGGATCCACAAGGGCCAAGCTGAGACTTCCAAACAAGCAATAAAACCTGTATCTGTTTATGAAAACAGTATGATGGGCATTTCAAGTAAATTACGTTCCTTAATATAATGCAAATGCCCATTTAGTTTCTATCCAAATACTATCTATTCCCAAGCCCCAGAAATTAGTGTTAATAATAAGCAGCCCTATTGTGTGATAGGTCAGTGGTGTTGTTTTGAAGGTAATTATAATACTGAAATTAAGCAGGCAAGCCTTTATTTATTCAACTTAATCTTTCCATGGAAATATCCACAGAAGAGAAGGCTACCTGTATGGTAACGAGATTGTTAGTGGTGTAATGTGATGAAGCTAATAAAAATAATTACAAGAAATGGTGCTGTGGAAACATCATGAAGATTTCGTCAAGCCTGGACGTGTGTCAGCAATAGTGGGGCACTGGTGGAGCAGTAAATATTCAACAAGCAAGCTATTTCCTCACATAGGGAGGAGGCAGCTTTTATTAAGGGAAACCTGAAAGGGTGTTGACAACGGGAATTTATCCAAGACGTAGACAAAAGTTTATGTGAACATGGCAACTTTGGCTGATCTGAAACATCTACTAATGGGGGAATGGAGGGCATGTGGCCTGAAGCTCAGTGTTTTGTCATTGCTAAGAAAGGAGACACACAGATGAACTCTGTGAAAACTGTGGATTCTGCTTTGCTGCAAGGTTGGTGCTGGCGGAAGATTCCTAGAATGACATTTAAGATGAGGATGAAAATAAGGTATATTCTCAGGGGGCTCCTGAGGAGTTGCAGCTGCTCTTGTTGGCCACTGTGCAAATGTCTGGTCAAGCAAGACAGAGGTAGTTGCAAGTTTTGCCCACACTGATGCTTTGTGGAGCGTAGTAGCGAAGTTCTAAGATTTAAACAGATAATTTGGAACAATAACATGTTAAAAGTAAATGTAATTGGTTTCATTACTGCAAAACTAAATAAAATTTAATTTTACATATTACATCATCAAGTGGGAAGATTATGCATGGAGATGTCTAATAGAATTAGCACCGTTGAGTGCATATTCAAACTCTTAGGATAAATGGCTCATCTCTAGCTCTTGACACTCACTTCTTCCAGCATCTAGCAACCTCTGTACTCCAGCTACTCCCTAACTCTTCATAGGCATGACCACTTCATAGGTCACTTGGTTTACTAAACCTTTTCTCTCTCATGCTGTATCTCTTCTGAAACATACAGGTAGAGCAGAGTGTTTTGTTCTCTAACATGAGCATTCACCTGCAGAGTACTTGACTCTCTACCTTGACTGCATGAATCAGTCAAAATAGGGAAGGCTGTCATTTGGGTACTCACCAACTGGCAGGGAGTACGCCAGGAAAACGCAACTCTCCTCCAGTGATGAAGGGACTGAGGAAAGATTACGAGCAGGAGTTGGGCAGGTTGGATGGAGGACAGTCTTGAAAACATGAAACAGAGCTCAGTGAGAGGAAGCAGTAAATAAGCAGTACAGAAGTATGCTCAGCAACCGAATGCTCATGCTATAGCAGAATGTATTTTATATCAAGTCTTCATCAGGAGTTTGACAGCTATTAACATAATTAGAAAAGATCTTTTATGGCATTCCCCTACTCCTTCCTTTCTGCCACAGAACTTTCTCTGCCATGTTTTTTTTTTTCATGTTGTTGCTGGTTTGTTGGGTTGGTTTTTTTATATAAAACTTCTGAGTCTTCGTTTTGTTTCTTTTGGGGCTTTTTTTGGGTGAAATGTCAATGCAACACAAAATGCTTTGCTTTTATCTGGAGTTCGAAGTCTGAGGTGAGGGTCTGTCTCCTGTTTTTCTGCCTGCAGGGATTCCAATGCTGAAGATAGTATTTGCGGGTTATGAGCACCTGTCCTTAATTTCCGTCCCCTTACTCATCTATCATCCTGCTCAGATTCTTCTTGGCAGTCTGTTGGTACCAACAATAAAATCTTGGATGGTTTCTAGGCAAAAGGTAAGAATTGCTGGGTTTGATTTATAATAGAAAGTGTGCTATGAGGAAAGAAATACTAAATGCATCTTAAACTCCCTAGGTTCCTTCTTGGAGATCCCCATGGTAGGGATTTTTCTGTTTCTTTACTTGCTTTGTGAGAGTGATAGTCACAATAGTATCAAATTAAAAATACTAAACTTTATCCCCCTTGGCTCTGAAAAGGTTCAAATCTTGAAATTAGGCCTGTACAATTAGTTCAAATTATGAATTCATCCAAATTATAGATTCAGGTTATGCCCAATAAGAATGGCTCCATCTGTAGCTAATAATCACAGCTTTGGATCTCCCTCGTGGAGAAGTGACAAAGATCTGTCCACTGGAAGGAGAGCTGGGGAAATCGGCTAAAATGAGGGCACTTTCTGAATTGAATTGAAGCAGGCTGAAAACATCTTTTTTTTTTTTTTTTTTCTCCTACTGGGTCACTCTTTACAATAGCAAGAAGTCTGCAGGAGTCTGGTGCATCACATTTAATGCCAAAATTATGGCATGGGGTAGCTTGTAGGACTATAGACCATAACCTAGAGGTTTTTGCATTGACATCACTGATTCACATTATGCTTATTTCAGTACAAATTGAAGCTATTGAGATCTGACAGCCGTTCTGTGATCTGTATGAAACAATTGCAATGGTTTTATTCAGGGTCTCAGAACAGTAGTAACCACCTCGCAGAAAGCTAGTCCGTGCAACTGGTTTTAATGCTGTGAGATAATAAGGATCAAGAAGCTGTGGCAACTGAAGCAGTCTTTGACAGCTATTTTAGGTGAAGGTTGAGACCAACTGTGGGAAGCCCAGCACCACCAGTACCCTGCATTCTCCACTTGTCAGTTGAGAAATTTTTTTTTATAACGTCTATGTTTCCAATTTTCAGCAGAGCCCAACAGGCTGCCGCTTTACTAGCTTCACTCCACTAAAGTCACCTTGCTAACTTGAATGCTAAAGTTCCCCAAATCACTGATTTTTATGTGGCTCCACTTTTGTTTACCTGAGTTGTAAAAAGTGGGAAAACTCAGTTTTCAGGATCTGAGTCTGGAAATCAGACTCTGTTAAGACATACTTACCTTAGCATCTGAACATGGAAATTTGAGGATCATATGTAATTTCTCCATCAGTCTGAAAGTCATGATTTTTTTAAATCGGGTATTATCAGGAAATGTTACAGGTTGTGTAAAGAAAATTCTATGCTGTTCCTGCAGAAAGATAGCCTGAAGTTGACACTACGAGTGACAGAATGATCCCTGCAGTGCTGGCTTCTCTTCAGCACCTAACTGCTCTCTGGAGCAGGGCTGGAGCTCATCCACACCTCCCTGATCCTCAGGGGCGGTCATGGGCTTTAGGGGCTGCTGTCAGTTGCTGCAAGTTAACACAGCCTTTAGACGGCATCAGAAAAGTCAACCAGTTCTGGAGAGATTTACAGTTCACCAGCACTACTTTCTTATTCATTAAGCATCAACTGAACCTTCTGTGCTAATCAGACTGTAATGCTACCGTACAGCCACTTTGGGGGATTGTTGTTCTGTTGCAGCAGCTTCTTCAGTTGGTCTTCTGTATTATTCACAAATGTTATTTTAATTACTCTTTGAAAAAAATCAATGAGGTTGGGTCTTGTACAGTTATAATAAGTATAATAGAAGTGAATGTTGTGACTGGATAATGGTCTCCTGCTTTGAAAATAAACATGTCATCATCACCCTTGATGTTTATTTTCTGTAAACACCTTGGCTTCATTTTGGCATCTCTCTTGCAGGGGGAGACGGTTATCCAGTCACAGTACTCAACTGCAGTGACATTCTTTCTTAATTATGATAGTACATGTGATCTGTTTGTATCAGATTGAATTTAAATATTTAGAGGTTCATCTACACTAAGGTATTTCTAGTTTGTAAATATGGGAGCAGAATCTGCCAAACTACAAAGTTAAAAAATTGTTTCCGCAAACAAAATGTGGAATGATGTCTCTCTCCAAAGTCTCTTGCTGAATAATATCCAAAAGACTAATCTCAAACGGCTGGATTTAACAATAGTTAAATGCTGGTGTTTCTGAAAGCTGGTGTTTCTGAGGGGAATATAGCCTATTTATTTTTAAAGGTTTGGATTTTTTTAGGGTTTACATTTGTGCTGGAGCGTTTTTCAAGCAGTGCTTACAAGCTTTAAATGTACAATATTAAAGGTTAATAGCTACAATAAGAAGACCCAGCAGACATCTCTCAGACTGAAAATTGCTTGTTTAGCCAACCCTCCAGAAATGATAAGTCTCTCACTTGACAGGCGAATGCCAGTCTGTCAGGGCACTTCACCCAAAAGCCTAAGGGAAACAGAGGTTCCAGATTTCAGGGATTTACAAATTTCAGGGATTTCCCTTTCACTCAGGCAAGTTTGTCCCGCGCAAGAAAGCAGTGAGCTTTTTTGTTGCAGAGCACACCAACACCAGGCATCCTTCACAGTGACCGCATCGGTATACAGGAGCAGCTGAAAACCCAACACGTTTTAAGCCTGTCACGTTTGCCTCTGAAGTTAGAGAGGCTGCCTCCTGCCAAACTAGAAGCACGATCACTTCTCATTCGAGTTGAACTTCTGTCACACACTGAATAAATAGTTCAGCTATCTTAGCTGGCCAGCCCTGTGGGGAACACAGAGCTGGACCCCGCCATCAGATAGAGGCGTGGGGTTTCTTTCCTCCTCAGTGAGAGTAGACTGGAGCTGCAAAGACGTCAGGTGTCCCCTGGCATAAAATCACCTCTGAACTGATTGACTTTGGCTTATTCTTACCTTTCCTCAGAAAGGAAGGTAGAAACCTCAGAGGTGTGCATGACATCCACCACTGCAGCAGTGACTATACTCTGAGCAGGCTTTGAGTCTGCTTTGAACACAAAGGTATTGACAGAAATTTTCTTCCCAGTCTGTCCCTAAGCGGGTCAGAAGCTGCTGTGTCTGTGCCACAAGTGGTTTGAGAGGGGTCCAGATAGCTGCTTTCTAGAAGACAGATATCTGAGACCACCTCCACTTCCTTCACTGGCACTGTAGCCGTATTGCTTGTGGTTCCACTGTTAAGGCTGTCTGTGTACAAGGAGGTTGTGATGGGTTATCAGAGATATCAGAGATAAAAACATCACCACAAAACTCCGAGTGGCCTGTCAGCTGCATGCTGACTCCTCCCTCGGCCTCCCAGAAGTACACTTCTTGTTGCCCCTTATAAACAAAAATCTTGTCTTGTGCCATTGGTTGTCTTTTAAGAATATAAAAAAGTGACTGTTTTGTTTACTGTTCACAGGCACTGAAGTTAACCAGGCAGCCCAAAGCGCCCGTGAAGGTATAATTGTGGAGATGGCCTGTGTCACAGTGAATGTATATATGTACTATACTGTACACACGGACAATTGAAACAACTGGGTATTTGTGAATGTTGCTTTGGTGCATATTTTATTTTTTTATATATATATATTAAAAAGATACCTGCTAAGTGCCTTACAGATGCATTTTTGGCAAAAGCATTGTTTCCAGAAGCCACTTTGTTGGTTACTGCAAGAGGTTGTACAGTATTTTGGAGTCCTTTAGTTTTTATTTTTCTAACCGAGTGAATGGTCATGACTAACAGCTGTTTCTTCCATTGCCCCTGCTTTGAAGCCAGGGTGCACCAGCTGTAAGTCTCTGTTTTAAACTAGCCAAAATGAAGCCTATCCCACTGCTGGCTTACCCTGGGGAAGAGCTTTCTGAAGGTTTTTTTCCAAGATTGACTTGAATTTCTGTGTGACTCTGTTACACTCCCTAGTCATATGACTGTGACATGCCTTTTTCTTCTGAGTTTGTGTATGCTCAGCATGGGGCCATCCATTGGATGGAAGCTGAGAAGCATGAATTATTTGCATTTGTTGACACAGTTGTCTAGACATTCCTTCAAAGTTAATGGTTTCTCAAGAAAATTCTTTCAATTCCATTGTATGATATTGTGCCATTGTATATCTTAAATGCCTCATAAGCTTCTTCAAAGAAATGGTCTGGTGCTTGGGTTAGGAGTGAAGTATTTGTGTTTGCAGCTAGGAGATCTTTTATAATTTACCCCTGAAGAACACAAATTTTTGGTTTCCTTTTTCTTTTCCTTCCCCCAGTGCAATGCATAGAGATCTGCAGTGACAGAATTTAGGATGCTAATATTGAAACAGAGCCTTTATTGCAGTAAGCCAAGCTATGTTTTCTATATTGCTGTGCTGGTAATGAATAATAGCTTGTGAGGATAAGAGAGTTGACAATTTTTTTTTTCCAATTAAAAGGATCATTATAGTAACACAAACACTATCTTAGCTAATTTGACAATCAGTCGCAACTTTTTAAAAAATCAAATGTTACTCTTTTTAACAAACATAAAAAAAAAGAATACAAAATACTGTTTCTAAGAGGAGTGTTGAAGAGAAAGGAACACTGGCATTTATTCAGAAGCATACTGTAGTCTAGACTCTGAGGTTTACCCATCTGCAAAAACTGTGCTGGCAATTGTGCATTAAAACATTAAAAGGAATGAAAGAAATAGGTCAAACTGGGATCAATATAAATGCAGAAGTTTCATGTGTGTCACTGTTAACATTGCAGTTGATGGTGCAACTGAGTGCAAGCACCTAGGAGCAGATCTTTAGCAGATGTAAATTATCGTGGCTCTGATAAGGCTATATAGCCATTTAAGCAAGCTAAAGATCTTTTGTATGAAAATAAGCATGTGAAATTCATATCCTTTTGCCTTAGTGAAAAAAAATGGGCTTTGGTTTACTTGGTCTGTTATTCCTGTGACCAACAGGAAAGTAATCCGGTACTAGTCGTCGGTGCTTTACCTGATGGTCAGTCGTGCAAGACTGCTCTCTTGCCATCTGTATGAGAAACTGCTGGGAGCTGGCAGCATCACTTTGTTCACAATTGTCATCACCAGTAAAAGGACCACGTAGGGAAGGTACTTGAGGTGGCAACATGCTGAATTCTTTCATTCCCTGGAGGTGGGGGGCCAAGCTCTGCACATCGAGCAGGCGGGAGGGCTGAGGGACACCGTCCGTCCGCCGCCGCGCCCCCAGGGCTGTGCTCTCTTCTCACTAGCCAGGGATGCAAAGGGCAGCGGGCAGTGAGCTCACAGGTTTGGTCCACGCATCCCTAGATAGCATGGTCAGGTCCATCAGTGGGCCGACCTGCGAGGTAATTGGAGAGAATAGCCTGCGTGTTCTTCGGCCAAATTCAAGGTTCCCCTTCCTTAAGCATGCTAACCGGTTGCTGGCTCCATGTGGGAACAGTTTCCTTTGTCTGGGCTTAAAATCCCTGCTTGCAAAGGAGAGTCCAGACTCAGGACAGTCAATGACTCTTTCTGTTGCTTTTGAATGGCAAAACAACAAGCCCAGAAAGAGCGCTCGCTTTTTTTAAATATGTAGGAAGAGTTCAAGCATACAGTAGCGTACTGTGGTTGTACCAATGCTAAATAGTCAGAACACTGCAAGTACCCTTACTGAGCTACCTCTACGTACTGAATCTCTGGCTTTCAGTACATCCAGCAACTTGCTTAGATTCCACTGAATACATCCTTTGTTAAATTGTTTTTCTACATTTAAGAATATTTCAAGCTCTTTTAAGGTGTAGTTTTGTTAGAGCCTTACAAAGTCCTTGTTGATTGCTTGGGGCAGCCTAAATATTGTGTATGACTGTTGGAGGTGTTGGTCTACAGGGAATACATATTTTAAATCCGTACTTAATGAAACTTAATTATGCATATCAATCCTATTATGTTTAAAGACTGTTGTTTATGACTTGTTATTATGCCTATATGTCTTTAATAAACAGAATTGTTTTGAAGTTAATTTTGTTAATAGAAAAACAAGATAAAATTACTTATCCTCTAGGTCAACTTTTAACATCTATTACCTACGTTTTGTTCATTTGTGGGTAAGCTTTTAAACTCTTTGCTTGTTCTTTAAAAAAAATAAATCTGTGAACTGTACAGAAATATTTTATGAACTAAACTTGGAGAAAGGAAGTCCTCAGAATACTGCAAATTATCATCAACTGAAAATTAATTCACTGAACTCCAGCAGTTTTTTAGTAGAGGGTTAGAACAGTTCTGAATCTTTTCAGCTTCTTGGCTTTAAATTTAACTGAGCGATATCTGGTATTGAACATAATCAGGCAAAACTGATGGCAAACGAGAACTTTGCCCATGTTAAAACATAAGGATTTTCTTGATCACCAACACTTCTTGTCTTCTGCATATCTATAATCCCATCTAATGATAGCAGAGGAAAAAAACAGCCCACACAATAAAAGAGTACTTCAGAGGTCACAGGGAATCTTAGCACTTTGTATGGAGTTACTCAAACACTTTATTTCCCTTTTTGTGCTCTAAATTGAGAAGCTTTTGATGACTCCAGTAATAGGTCCAAGGTAAATTGTTTTTTATGTAGTTAAAATCAAAATTGTGGTTGTGTTTTTTCTTATAGATCCTTTAGTTAGTGCGAAAAGGTTATATGACAGAAAAGGCAATCTCAGCAGAAGCTGCGCAGTTGTGCTTGTTCACAGAGAAAAAGGAGAGTAATCCCGCAGCTTTGTTTTACAGACTTAGTCCCCTACTTATTCTGGCAGTCAGGGAAAGAGGAGCTGTTAGTTTTATTTGTGTACGGTTTTCTGTGGAAATATCTTGGCAGCAGGAGGTTAGAAGGCAAGATGAAATACTGTCTGTCTGCAAGCACATTTATTTATGTGCAAGTGTATACGTGCATAAGAGATGAGCCGTTATATATGTAGAAATCACTAGAAAGGACCAGGTTCCTGGTATACATTTTTTTTGTAAGATTGCATATGGAGAAAGAGCTACTTTTTTATGTTATTCTGACATTAAAAATGAAATTTCAGACACTGAATTGTGTTTTGTACTGAACCATAATCTCATACAGAACCTTTACAGCAGATGATCGCAGCATTGTATTTGTAAACTGTAGACTATTTTGCACTTAAATAGATGTTGATGCATTTGGGAATTACCACGCAGTTAAAGGGCTAAATCATAGTTTCTTCGTTTTGTTATAATCCGAATGCATTTATATTGCTATTATTATAAAGTGCCAGAAACACATAGAGTCCCTTGCAAACATGTTAAATAGACAAGAGACTAAATTCTGCCCGTGGTTACACTTGCACATCTCCAGTGAAAGGGCTGTTGAGCTGCACAGCGGTCTCCCTGGGGAAGCTGTTTGAAAAGCCCTGCCATTGTTCTAACAAAGCTCACTGATAATGTAGCACATGACGAGAGTAAATGAAGAGTATTTTACTTTAGATTTGATGGCCTGGCCTTTCCGGCATCTAACAAACAGAATCTCTTTTGTCCCTGTTTCCACGGGTAGCCCCAATCTCCCAGACCAAGACTACAGCATCGATTCAGAACAATGCCAGAAGAGGGAGGTTGTCTCCACTTTGCCCTTTTCTGGCTTTAACCGCCTTACCACTCGTGATCATTAAACCGTGACTTCATGAGGAGGCATTTTGAATTAAATTCTTTAAAGTTTATGTGTACGGTTCCTGTAAAATTCTCATTCAACAGAGAACACCCCGCAGGATGGTAAGTAATCTTCCGGAGTAGCATGGATGGGGCCGGGCCAGCGGCTTTAGATGTGCAGGGCTCAAGAAAGCAGTGCCGGGACGTGCAGGCGTGAGGCATTGCTACGGGCGGGTCTGCTTCAGGCATCGAGAGCCGCAGCAGAGGTCATGAAAGCAGCCTCTAAACTGTGCTCTCGCCAGAAAGATGGGGAGTGCGATCTTCAGTGAGAAGTGAAATTAAATTTGTTAGTGATTAAAGGGACAAGAGAGCTGTGTGGGAAGCAGTTGGTGCCAATGAGGCCTCTCGGCTGCCCCCCTAAGCAAATTGCAGTCTCGGTGGAATATCAGCTTCTCAGTCCTTCAGATTGCAGTAATCAAGTCTGGAGCTGATGGGACCGTGAGTCACCACTTAATTTTCTCATCAGCGGAGGTCAAGTTTTCAAAATATTTTTAGATGCATTTCCTCAGAGATTTCTGCCAGCCAGCGACCTGTAGTGTGAAAAGAAAATGAGCAATAGCTGCTGTTGAACCAGGCTCTTGCTCCCCGCCACCCGCCCTGCCGATTGCAGTTATGGGCAGGGAGATCAAAAGCCTTTGGCATTGCTATGCAGAAAAGAGCCCCACTGAGCTGATCCCAGCACCTGGACTGGTAAGTAAGAAAATAACCTGTTACTTCTTAGGCTATCTGGTAGGTTCAAATCACCTCTGACTTTGTCTTGCTAGCCCAGACCAGAAGCGGGCATGGGATTAGAAATGGGACTGTGATCACTGCCCAGAGAGACAGCCGATACCCAGCAGCTGCAGCACACAGACGAGGCCGTGCATCTCCTAAGGATCCCATGCTGGTGCGTGTTGTCCACTTGTTACATGTGTTCAAAGTTGCCACCTGGCACAACCATTTTTCACCCAGAAAAGAAGCCTCTTTGGCTTCTTCCTCACCCAGGAAGAAAAGAAGCCTCTTTGGATGGCCTCCTCTGTGGGTGGGCTCCATCTAGTATAATTGTAACAAAATCAAAGGCTTGCAGATGTTAGCTCGTCTCTGTAAGAGAAAACTTATTATTTATGGTAGTTTTCCTATGAAACAGTTCCAAATTCTAAGCTAAATCAGCTCTCTTAGAAGGGAAGAAAATGGGCTGCCTTGAAGGAAAGGTGATTTCATTGATAGGATTAAAAAAATTACAGAGGTCATGTGAGAACTGGCCTTTTGCCAGAACAACTGCAGGAAATAAAATTTCAGAGTCCCGTGACAATAATTGGGTATGAAATTCTATTGACAAAAGCTTTTGCAATTCTGTGCTCCCTCCTTTTCTTAGCATTGTGACTGCAGTCCTTCCCCATCAGTGTCCTTTGTCTGCTGCACAGCCCATACCCAAGATGTTACAAAATTCTCTCATATTTCCTGGTGCCTTCCCCGTGTACTTTTGCCGCTTCTTGTCAACAGTGTTTGGCAAACTGGACGTGACCCAGCAATGTGTGCTCACAGCCCAGAAGGCCAACCGTAGCCTGGGCTGCATCAAGAGAAGCGTGGCCAGCAGGTCGAGAGAGGTGATTCTGCCCCTCTGCTCCGCTCTGGTGAGACCCCCCTGGAGTCCCATGTCCAGCTCTGGAGCCCTCAGCACAAGAAGGACATGGAACTGTTGCAACGGGTTCAGAGGAGGGCAACAAAGATGATCCGAGGGCGGGAGCTCCTCTCCTACAAGGACAGGCTGAGAGAGTTGGGCTTGTTCAGCCTGGAGAAGAGAAGGCTGCGGGGAGACCTGATTGCAGCCTTTCAGTACTTAAAGGGAGCCTATAGGA